AGAATCTGTGAAAGTATCATTAAATATTTTTCAGTGGTATAGGAAGAGCTAGTTGCGGATAGGATAAAGATGGGTACCCTTCAATATTATAGAAAAAATGGCAGTGTCATTGTTTTGCTCGGGAAAACTCAAAATATGGGTCCGATCAAAAAGTAAAATAGAAGGTCACAATGACACTATACAAAAAAGATTCTGTGAAAGTCACAAGAGATTTCATTCAGTGGTAAAAGCGGAGCTGCGGATAAGAGATGGGTACCCAAAGCGTAACAGACGGACGGACGGGCAACCTGATTACTATATACCCTCCAGCTTTTCAAGTGGGGTGTATAATAATAAGCTGTTTACTTTAATTTAGTTTCCTTTTTTACTTCACTGAGCTGAATTCTCGAGTGAGTCTGCTTTTTGCAGGTGTCATAACAGTATTTCACTAGAGTTTACGTCACATCATGGCTGACACAAAATAATTCCTGAATCTCCCTTTCCGAATCGAGCATTTTGATACGAGACTGGAGCTGATTTTTTATGAGATGAAAAACAACATGTAAACTTCCTGTATTGACAAGATTTATTAAAATTTAGGGCGGATTTTTCTATATACTGTATTTGAGTAGGGAGTGATTAGGCTCTAGACTTGATTTTCAAGCACCTGCTCGACTTCGATCGAAACAAACCTGCGTACTTTGCTGGATGGCTATGTACTTTTTTTAGGTAATAGAGAGCTCAGTGAGCGTAGCGAGCTCAATAGATGAACATGTACGAACAGAGGAAATTCGGGTTGAAATCTGCATTGTTCCAAGAAATTTTTATCCTACCACGTGAAAAAATTCCAAACTCCCAATAATCCTTTGCGGTTCACAGCAACATGGTGGTTAAAACATAGCAACAACTTACTTGAAAAAATTACAAACAACAATTTAATGTAATCTCCATGCCATAAAACTATCGTTTGCGTCCTATGTCAACAGGACTTTTTATCTGTCGTCATACTTTCGTCACTTTAACGGTTCGGTTATTTCCGATTTTGTCGGAAACTTCCGAGAAGTTTGGAATCTCGATCCCGATGCTAAGAAAGTGATTTCTTTTTATTGTTTTGTTTTTTTCTTTTTCCTTTCTTTTTCTTGAATGATAGACAGTACATGTGTAAGTTTACGTTTACATATTAATTTTACATGTATATAATTATACTTTGAAATCTTTGTTTTTAGTAGTTTTCCACCTATTCCCACACGGCATTTTACCTTTAAATGCCTGTATTTGGATCCAACTGCAAGATTTAGAGAGAAGAATATTTTCTTTGCTATAAATTATATCAAATCAATTAGTTTGGTTTCAATGGCGACACAGACTCCAATCAATTTGTTGCAAGCAATACTAGGTATAAGACTATGAAACAAGAAGCATAAAGTTAGATTGAAAGAATTATTTTCTAATGTTATATATACTTGTAGCGATCGCAGCGAGGGTTCGCGTAGCGCGCTCAATACACTAACGTGTACGAACGGAGGAAATTCGGGTTAAAATCTGCAAATTTTTCCAAGAAATTTTTATCGTACCACGTGAAAAAATTCCAAACTCCCAATAATCCTTTGCGGTGCATAGCAACATGGTAGCTAAAACATAGCAACAATGTACTTGAAAAAAAATTACAAACAACGATTAAAATGCAATCTCCATGCCACAAAAGTATCGTTTGCGTCCTAAGTCAACAGGACTTTTTATTTGACGTAATACTTTCGTCACTTAAACAACTCGTGTATTTCTGATTTTGTCGGAAACTTCTGATAAGTTTGGAATCTCGATCCCGTTGCCTGGGAAGTGATTTCTTTTCTTTTCTTCTCTTTTATAATGAATTGAAGATAGACAGTGCAAGTAAAAGCTGTATAATGTTTTTTTTTTATAGTAAATAACTGCGCTCGCCCCAATGGTCGACAGTGCAAGTAAAAGCTGTATAATGGTTTTTTTTTTATAGTAAATAACTGCGCTCTCCCCAATGGTCGCACCGTAGAACATATTAAAATCTTTTCAAAGAATTGTTTTACAAGATCTGAAAAGGAAATTCCCAAAAAGTTTGCTTTAAATTAATAACATCTACTAAAACTTGCGTATTTTGGTAAGAATATATAGCAGAATTTAATATTGTTGTGCAACCTAAAGGAAGTCCACACGTGGTAGATATATTCTACATATTGAGCCCGATGTTTATTCGTATAGTATTATATAGTAGGGCTAAAATTGGAGGGCTCTATCTCGGAAACCAGAGATGGTACCATCACCAATATTTCAGAAATGGTAACTGACCCTTAGTACCCCACCCTCAAAATTTGAAACAGTACTAGGGGACTTCAATGTCCCCAAGCCTAATGTTTATTCGAATAGTATTATATATAGTAGAGATAAAAACTGGAGAACCATATATCAAAAACCTGTAAAAATATGAAGATCTAAATATGGGATCCAGGATGTTAGCCAGTCCCCCGGGCAATGTACTCTTATTCAGAAATACATGCATATAATAAAATTATAAGCGATTTTTTTCCCAATTTTATCCGGGCTAGCTAAATGGGTTCCCGGTCTTGTAACATAATTCCTTTTGACAGTGGAAGGGTCCCTCCCAAACCTTTCCCCTGTAAAAATATGGGATCCAGGATGTTATCCAGCCCCCAGGGCAATGTTCTCTACTTATTTAAGCATTATACGTTTCTTTTCCAAATTTTGACCGGGCTAGCTAAATAGGTTCCCGGTCTTGAAACATAAATCTTTTTTGACAGTGGAAGGGTCTCTCCCATACCCCTTCCCTGTAAAAATATGAAGATCTAAATATGGGATCCACGATGTTAGCCAGGCCCCCGGGCAATGTACTCTTATTCAGAAATACATATAATAGAATTATAAGGGATTTTTTTCCAATTTTATCCGGGCTAGCTAAATGGGTTCCCGGTCTTGTAACATAAATTCCTTTTGACAGTGGAAGGGTCTCTCCCATACCCCTCCCCTGTAAAAATATGAAGATCTAAATTTGGGATCCACGATGTTATTCAGGCCCCCGGGCAATGTACTCATATTCAGAAATACATATAATAGAATTATAAGGGATTTTTTTTCCAATATCCGGGCTAGCTAAATGGGTTCCCGGTCTTGTAACATAAATTCCTTTTGACAGTGAAAGGGTGCCTCCCATACCCCTCCCCTGTAAAAGTATGAAGATCTAAATATGGGGTCCAGGATGTTATCCAGCCCCTCGGGCAATGTCCTCTACTTATTAAAGCATTATACGTTTTTTTCTCCAATTTTGACCGGGCTAGCTAAATAGGTTACCGGTCTTGTAACATAAATTCCTTTTGACAGTGGAAGGGTCTCTCCCATACCCCTCCCCTGTAAAAATATAAAGATCTAAATATGGGGTCCAGGATGTTATCCAGCCCCCGGGCAATGTATTCTACTTATTTTAGCATTAATCTTTTTTTCTTCAATTTTGACCAGGCTAGCTGAATGGGTTCCCGGTCTTGTTACATAAATTCCTTTTGACAGTGGAAGGGTCTTTCCCATACCCCTCCCCTGTAAAAATATGAAGATCTAAATATGGGATCCACGATGTTAGCCAGGCCCCCGGGCTATGTACTCTTATTCAGAAATACATATAATAGAATTATAAGGGATTTTTTTCCAATTTTATCCGGGCTAGCTAAATGGGTTCCCGGTCTTGTAACATAAATTCCTTTTGACAGTGGAAGGGTCCCTCCCATACCCCTCCCCTGTAAAAGTATGAAGATCTAAATTTGGGTCCAGGATGTTATCCAGCCCCCCCGGCAATGTCCTCTACTTATTAAAGCATTATACGTTTTTTTTTCTCCAATTTTGACCGGGCTATCTAAATAGGTTCCCGGTCTTGAAACATAAATTCCTTTTTTGACATTTCATCCGGGCTAGCTAAATAGGTTCCCGGTGTTGTAACATAAACTCCCTTTGACAGTAGAAGGGTCTCTCCAGTACCCCTCCCCTGTTAAAATATGAAGATCTAAATATGGGATCCAGGATGTTAGCCAGCCCCCCGGGCAATGTACTCTTATTATTATAGTATTGTACGTTTTTTCCAATTTTGATCGGACTAGCTAAATAGGTGTCCGGTCTTGTAACATAAATTTCTTTTGAGGTTTGAAAGGTCTCTCCCATACTCCTCCCTTGTAAAAATATAAGAGTCGAAATATGGGATCCAGGATATTAGCCTGCCCCCGGGTAATTTACTCTTATGTACAAATACTTATAATAGTATTTAACGGGTTATTTTTCCAATTTTGACCGGGCTAGCTAAATATTCATCATTTTGGTCAGGCAAGCTGCATTGGTTTGGGGTCCTCACTCTTCTTCTTTAAGTGATGTCTTTGCTTTTCTTCTTAAACATGGATTATAATGCGTTATTAAGGTTTTTTGAAAAAAAAAATTATTAGGACATTTACGGTAATTTGAATAGCGAACGGCAGACAGCCTGCGGTTCGCCAGTCGAAAGGCGAATAGCGAATAACCTTCCAACTTCTGATTGCCCAACAGGGTTAATGATCACAAATACAAATGCCATCATTTATTTTCATTTAAAGACTAGAAAATGACGTGAATTGTGTCTTTTAAAAAATTGGGAGGATAGGTGCTTTTTTAGAATATTTTTAATGTGTTTGTCTTTTTCATTCTAAGAAGAAATACACTTTAAGACGTGACGTTTAGTTGTAACGCGGCGACACCCCCTATGCTCTATGTTTTAAACATCTATAAAATAAATTCAAATACACATCATTAAATGAAAATTTCGATGTTAATTAGATTCGTATTTGTGAATCATTTGGTATATTGTATTTGATAATATAACGCAAAATATGAAAGATATTGACACTATGACATTACTTTTGGATCAACCCTCGTACATTTAAACTAACTGCCTACAGCAATTTATACTTTTTCAATCACTTCTGCTTAATTCAGTTCATGGTTGCGAAAATAAAATAACATAATGTTTTTTATCCTTTATTGTGCTTGTATCTAAGAGTAAATGAAGCTCGCTTTTATTCACATGTTTTTCCTGTGTTGTTTCTTCCTGTAAAACCGTTTCAATAAGTCTTTGTTTTTGTTATGTTCTTTGATGTGCTTCATTTGCAGTTGTTCATTGTTAATAAAAGTTGTTTAAGACATTCAAACCCCAGTTGTCGTCGTTATTGTATGGGTCGTTATTGTTGTCGCCGAAAAAGTAAGCCTGGCGAGACGGTCTAGGGAGAGGACGTCCACGGAACCGAAAGTAGTCGTTGAATTGATTATAGTGATCTACAAAAAAGTAGTAGCAATATATAAAATGAATATGTTTCCGTAACCATAGAATTATATTCATGGTCTATGAGTCAGTATATTTTTCCAGATATTTTCAAAAAAATGCCACACGGTATAATTGTAAAGTTGCACCTTCCTATTCTCGTATCAATTTTTTTTTATTTCATTCTATGAAATAACTCTTTTTCGAGGGGTCCATTTTCGTAATAACTAATAACTCATTTTAAAGGGGTTTAATTTTCGTAGGTAAAGAGAAAAATGACTGGTTCTGGGGATTTGAATTTGTGGTTAAAGAAGGTCCACTGTACTGTAGCATTTCCTAACTTAAACCCTAACGATAACAGTATATATATTTACTCGAATCCCTAAAAAATCCAGATACTTTTTTTGAATATATTTTATGAATAATCTCACTAGAAAAAAAATGAAAAACAAATGATAAATAATATATATATATATATATATATATATATATATATATATATATATATATATATATATATATATATATATATATATAATGATAATAAGAGGAATTACAGATAATTTTTTGGGGGTCAAGTGTCAGGTCTTTCATTTAAATGCTTTATATATAATATCAAAATTTAACCGAACGGAATGCATGTATACAGTGGCTGCAACTTTTTTGTTGACAACTTACACGAACAACTTACACGTTACATGAACGATTCCGCACGATTAACGCATGATTAAACCTGTTACAGGAACGGTCCTTAACTTCGATTCTTCACACGATTCTGCACTTATACGACCTTTCACGATTGCTAACGCTAACGCACAATTCATCACGAACGAATACGCACGCTACACGAATGATTCTACACGATTTTTTTTGTCAACAATAACGTTGCAGCCAAAGTATAAGTAAAAAAAAGTTGAAACTTATTCGGTAAAAAGGTATTTTATAAAGATTAACTTACAGGACAAGGCAACAGTGAAGCACAGAGCAAGGATCAACAAAAGACGCAGCATCATGAGAACTTCTCGATGAGGCTTTACACAACAGTTGGTATACCAGAATGTGTTTTAATCATTACCCTACTTCAAATTTCTTGGTATTTATAGACAGTTGTTTTTCAGTCATGCATGCTGCGTTTCAACTTTTGTCATGTTGTAATAAATCATTGAAAAAAAAAACATTGATTGTTCTTGTGTCATGGCTTAAAAATTCAAATAATACGTGATATGCTCATTTGATTTCATGCTAATTATTGGATAAGATGCGAGTTTTTAACGAGGCTCAATCGAAATTACGAAAACGGATTGATAAAAATGTTTAATTCTTGGAAATATATTTGTATGCATTATCAGGTCTGGACTATATCCAACTAAGGAAGTCAAGAATGATGACCGTGAATTGCTTTTAAAAAATACACAGAATAAACAAGGTGCTAGTCCTCCTGAACAATCAGATAACTGCATTTAAACAAACCCATGAGAAAATAAATAAAACACATGGTTCTAAAGTTCTTTGCTCAAAAGATTTTTTTAGAACAAACTTTTTGTAAACTTAAGCACATTTAGAATAATTTAATATTTATGACAAAACTACCGTGAACAAACAGGACTTGAAAGCTTAGAATACGTTTTAAGGATTAAAAGTCCGTCACTAGGAAGTTAAACTAACCTTAAAAATTTGATATAAATATTTTTAGATTTTTAGAATATGCCATTAATTTTTCACTATTTCAAAATTATCTCCCCTTTGAAAAGGGCATGGCCCTTAATTTAAACAAACTTGAATCCTATTCACCCAAGGATACTTTGTAACAAGTATGCTTGAAATTGGCCCAGTGGTTCTTCAGAAGAAGATGAAAATGTGAAAAGTTTACAGCGACGACGAAGACTTAATAAATGGTTTTACAGGAAGAAACAATACAGGAAAAATCAATGTGAATAGAAGCGAGTTTAATTTACTCTTAGATACAAGCACAATAAAGGATTAAAAATATTATGTGTTATTTTATTTTCATGGATTAAATTAAGCAGAATTAATTGAATAAGTATAAATTGCTGTATGCATTTTGTTTAAATGTATATGTAAATTAAAAATTCCGTTTGTGAATTTTTTAAGGACTTTGGTCTATATTATTCCGCAATACAATCTAATACAACAGTTGTTCATCTTTCGGCGGATGTTGATATGTTTAAACAGAAAAAAATTTAATTGTTGATTTCGCCTTACAAAAGTTACGTTTAATGTTAACACGATTGATTGATTGTATGTTGTTTTACGTCCCTCTCGATAATTTTTCATTCACCACCACTTGCCGATGCAATGTTTGTTCTATGCTCGGCACTCAGGACTCAGGGCTATTGAGCAGTGAGTGATCTATTTCGTGCCAGCACTTACTGTGAATCGGGACCCCAGTTTATGCGGTCTGATCCGAAGGACAGGTATCCTCGTCCCATAGTGGGATTCGAACCCGCGACGTAGTCTCTACGTCTAGTAGTGAATTTGAACCAGCAAGGTAAGGATAATCTCCTACCACTACGCCACGCATACAGCAGATAATATTTGCAGACGTTTATGATATATAAGACGATTTATAGCATTAAATGGATTTTTAATCCTTCCATTCATATTATTGTTGAAAGGACAAATTTTATTATTTCCAATATTATAAACGATATCTAATTTCGATAGAAAAACCTTTTATTTCAGATTCCCTATAAACCAAACAAACAATAAAGATGTTATTTTGCTTGTTTAATAGCATTTGACTCAATGACAATTTGTATTTGCTGACAAGTATCGACCATAAAAATTACAAGGAAAGGATAAAGTTTAATTTAAGAAAATCATATTCCCTACGATCAGCACCAGCAAAGGACGTCAACTAAAAGAGAAAGAGAAAAAATAACTGTTTGCTGTTGTGAATATATTTAGTATTTCTAAAATTGAGCAAAACTGCTGGCAGCATTGAAAATCAAATTAAATAACTAACATGATTTGTTAAGGTCTTCCGTTTCCAACGGAAGACCTTCTACTGATTCTTTTGGTAAAGATTATTAAGGTCTTCCGTTTCCAACGGAAGACCTTCTACTGATTCTGTTGGTAAAGATTATTATTCTTTTTTTTTCTTCTGCTTCCTAGACCGCAACTTTGAGGCCTCGTATCTAGCTCATTTCTCAACGGATTTCGCTCAAATTTTTAGACGCTATAGACGTTAATAAACTCTATCAGAATGATGTATAAAATTTCAAAAAGCCACTTCCGGTTTATTTTCCTTTAAAGGAAAATTTATAGGCTTTCGTTTCCAGACAAAGGCTCAGAGACGGCTAAAGCTGGAGCAGAAATTCTACTGATTTTAGATAATAGAAGGATTGAAGTTGTGCACATCGGTTTTTGTTTTTCGATTTCTCTATTCAAAATGGCGCTATATAGGGGTTAAAAATTAGAACGCTTAAAAGAACCAAAAATTACTCATATTTTTCTTTTTATCTTCTAAACTAAAAGTATTTTGTTAAAATATATAGGACATAATTTGTGCAGAATTAGAAGATCTTTCAAATGATATGTCGAAAAAAGGGCTGACCCCTAAATTAAGGGACCTAGAGGGGCCAAAAGTTTTTTCCAGATATCTCAAAAAGTATTGAGAATTTGTTATGCATCAAAGAAGCAAAGTTGTTCAAAATATCAAGCTCTATCTAATGGGTTCGTCAAAATACGTCCGGTGACGTCACTTCCGGTCGAACCGGAAGTAGTCAGAAAATGCATATTTTTGCCGTTTTTGACAGGTTTTTGGGTAACATGTCTCACTTGAAGCTTAAATATTAATTTTCCGTCCGTCGTCGTCACTTCCGGTCAAACCGGAAGTACCAAAGAATGGCTTAAGTTTGCTATACTTAACATAGATTTGGAGGATTAACCCATTTTTGGACTTCATTACTCCTTTTTTTTTAAAATGAAAGTTACTTCCGGTCAAACAGGACGGAAGACCTACTCGTTGCTTTGCAACGAGCTCGGCTCTAGTTATTCTTTTTTTTTTCTTCTGCTTCCTAGACCGCAACTTTGAGGCCTCATATCTCACTCATTTCTCAACAGATTTCGCTCAAATTTTCAAAGGTTATAGACGTTTATAAACTCTATCAGAATGCTTACTAAAATTTCAAAAAGTCACTACCGGTTTTGAGTTATTTCTCGTTAAACGAAAATTTATAGCCTTTCGTTTCCAGACAAAGGCTCAGAGACGGCTAAAGCTGGAGCAGAAATTCTACTGATTTTAGATAATAGAAGGACTGAAGTTGTGCACATCGGTTTTTGTTTTTCGATTTCTCTATTCAAAATGGCGCTATATAGGGGTCAAAAATTAGAACGCTTAAAAGAACCAAAAATTACTAATTTTTTGCTTTTTATCTACTAAACTAAAAATATTTTGTTAAAATATATAGAATATAATTTGTGCAGAATTAGAAGATCTTTCAAATGATATGTTGGAAAAAGGGCGGACCCCTAAATTAAGGGATCTAGAGGGGCCAAAAGTTTTTTCCAGATATCTCAAAAAGTATTGAGAATTTGATATACATCAAAGAAGCAAAGTTGTTGAAAATGTCAAGCTTAATCTAATGGAGTCGTTAAAATACGTCCAGCTTCCGGCCAAACCAGAAGTATTCGGAAAACGCGTATTTTTGCCGTTTTTGACAAGTTTTTGGGTAACATATGTTTCTGGGAGCTTAAAAAGTAATTTTCCGTACGTCGTCGTCACTTCCGGTCAAACCGGAAGTAGCAAAAAATGGCTTATTTTTCTCATTAATTAACATAGCTTTAGAGGATTCAAAGCATTTTTGGGCGTTTTTTCTCATTTTTGTTAAAAATGAAAGCTACTTCCGGTCAAACAGGACGGAAGACTTACTCGTTGCTTTGCAACGAGCTTTGCTCTAGTTTTATCCTATTCTACAAATTAATTTATACTTAAGAACCCTCTATACACTGACGAAAAATGTTTTTTGGACTTTTTGAGAAAATTGTGTAGTGTAAAGGAGGCTATTTTGAAATAAACTAATCCATTTCTAATATAGGGAGTGCACCTTCTTTATCCAGGAAAAATCTTTGAAGACCATGAAGTAATGACAAAGAAAAATTGCTTTTCAGAATTTAAATGGAGAAAATACATGCAAATAAAGTTTTCATTTACTCTATCTTGGTCTAACATAATATTTAGAATACATGGATTTATTTAAAATTTTGTCATACAGTGCAGATTACAATTTATTCTTTTTTATGTCAAATGCTGGGTGAGTCTAACTACACGCAAGTACCCTGAAAGTATGGTGCAGTGTAGAGAGGGTCCTTAAAAGCTATGGAAATAATAACATATCTTTAAGACTGTTATTGGTTTAAATCGAAGACATCTTACTATTTTGGTGCGGTATGAGCTTTATTAGTAGCCTCCCTTTCCACCTATTCCTCCTCCTCCTTTTATTCCTCCTCCTATACCCCCACCGCCACCAATGAATCCGCCTCCTCGCATACCACCGAATCCTCCAAATCCTCCTATAAAGCCGTGTCCACCATAACCCCCCATTCCGCCGTACATTCCTCCTGTGTCATCAATAAAACATGGTTTAATAAACCTTTTTAAAATCTCGAAGAAATATTATTTGTACAATTTCAAATTATATTTTGTATTAAATGCAGATAAAAAAACCATGTCTTTATTGCATGACTCGTGGTTCCTATTTGTTCATGGTGGAGCATAATGCCTCAAAATTTGTATAATTCAACCTTTCTTCAACATACCTATAAGTAAATCTATTACGAGAAATATTTTTCAAAATACGCGCAAAATTTGTTTCCTCTTATATCAATATTAATATGAACATTCTATTGTCTTTCTTATGACACAAATCTTAGTGTGCAATAAGAACATTTTTATGACTTGTTTTAAAGAGTTTGAGATAAGATAAAATCAAAAATTAAGGGGGGATCTTCCTTACCTCCGCCGCCATAATACCCACTGGCATGTACTGCTAGAGAAAAAAAAAAGATTTTACATACATGTCTAAGTCGACAAAGATTATATTTGCTTATATTTTAAACGAATGTTTTACTTCTTCGTAATTTTTTCTTTTTTTTTTTAAATTTATAAAACTGAATAAATATCTTACCAAAAACGAGCAAAGCAAGGAAAAGGAGAGTGCGGATCATGGTCACAATCTCAGGTTCTTGACCAGTGTGTAGAATTACAGGTTTTTATATAGGGTGCCCAGTGAAACATCGAACATTAAATAATTTGTAATAAAAGGTATCAAAAGGTTATGTCTTGGATTTAATGATGTCAAAGCCCTTTTTTATTATCAAATAGGACATGTAAAAATCATGGATTCCGTTTGAGCTTAAATTTGAACAAGGAGGAACATGTAAGTTCTTATGCTCAATAAAGATATAGAAAAGTTATTAAAATATTTTTATCCGGTACTTTGACACCTTCAAAATTACCTTGCTTTCATCTTCATACTTTTTTGGAAGAAAATAATATTAAAAGAACAAATATGTACCTTATTCAAGACAAGTTCACATAGGTACGTTAAAACGAAAATCAATTTTTTGGGGTATGCGTCGATTATAAAACATAACTTGGTTAATGAAATGAACAAATAGAGAAATTACTTTTCAAATTACAAAACCAGTTCAAACTGGTTACTTTAGTTGTAACTGATTGTGACAGTCATAATTTTCACATGATGTAGTTTAAAAAAATAATTTTTTAGACAAATATATAGCAGGATTGAAGTGTATGAAAAATAAACTTATCAACAAGAATGCCTACGAATAACGCAATTATTTTCCAATTCTCGGATACAGGATAAGAAGAGCATGCAATCCAAAATGTTATAGTACTTTGAAATAAGATTACACACTAAATAAAAATATAGGGAAGCCCGTTGAGGCCAGTTCATGGAAAGAAATATTTTGTATTGTGTTTTAATCGCAATAATTATTGCCTTTAATCACAAAAGATTGCGTTTTATCACAAAAGATTGCGTTAAAACGCAATAAGTTTGTGATTAAACGCAATACTTTTTTCATTTAATCATTCTTGCAAAAAATATTGCATTTAAACGCAATACTCTTTGCATTTTAACGCAATTATCCTTCCTTTTAAGGATTCATTTTGCATTTAAACACAATGATAAAGTGCTGTAGTTTGAAATCAGACTTCGAGTAGTTACAGATTATAATAAATATTATGGTCTGATGCTTTAAAAAAAGAACTGTTTTGTTCTGTGTCTTTTTGCAAAATGTTGCAGTTTTTGAGAATTGAAGTTAAACAATGACATTCTAACAACCAGAGTTTCTTAAACCTACTGGAATCCAACATTTTATACGAAGCCTTTAATCAATTGCTTACGTATGACAGCTAATTAAGAATGTTTAAGTGGTATTGATAGGCATATCTATTTAGTAGTACACATCGATCAATCTGTTTTCAATTGATTTTAATTTTGATTTTATATGATTCCATTTTGTAAGTTCTCGTGTTTACTGTATGTGATCAAAGGAAAGATTGTGAATATAGTGAATATACATATATACATGATACATACATATACACAAGTCTAAACATTTAATCAGTCGTTTCCTTAACACTTTTTACATGGTTTAAACTTTGTGACCGCAACGTGAGGTGATATTTTTTCAATAATTCTTTCTTCTTCAGTCTTTTATTTCGAAAGTCTTTTAAAATGATAGTATAGTTTTAAAGTTTAAAAGTAGAAAAAAAAACATCAATAAAGGAAGTGTAATTTGTGTTTTAAGCAACTGACCAAATCTTTAACAGGAATATAGAGGTTTGTGTTTAAACGCAATCTTATGAGATTAAACTCAAAGTGCTTTGTGTTTAAAAGCAAAGATTATTGCGATTATTCGCAATGTTTTGCGTTTAAACGCAATCTTTTTTTCTTCTCTGAACTGGCCTCAACGGGCTTCCGTAAAAATTACAGAAAAAAATAAATATCATTTTAAAGATAGAGTGAGTAACATAATTTTGACAATTTGCATCGCTTAATTTTTTTGTACTGTTTTCAGGACAAGGTAATATTTCATCTGAAATAACCTTACTTTGAATATTGTCTCTCGACTGTCTCATTAAAGATCACATTTATGGTTGTCAAATCACAAAACCACACAATTGACGTTAATAGCTGTAAAACATTTAATAAATCATCTCATTTTCCTTTTGCTGTGTTCAGTAAGAAATTGAACAAGATGAAAATTAGAAGGACCTTTTACTGGAAAATTAATTCAGAATAATGTTTCTTTTCATTTTTTTTTCCAAAGTGAATATCTGAAATTATCTATACACTGTCTTATATTTGGGAAAACTGTCTGGCAAGGTGCAAACCGATTTTTGCATGTTTATAACATTTTTATATGTCAGGGTTCCACGGGAAATGCTTGCATCAATATCATCTTTGTACGGCTTATTGTGATAAATGTAAATAAAATATTTTGCTTTTAATTATTTTTACTTTAACTTTGTTGATATTTTTAAAACGGTTAAAGAAATATAGAGAAAACGAACAGTGTTCAAGCATAAAAAACCATTAACAAGATACACGTACTTACAGAGATGAATAAACACGGACCTGAAAAACATCAGAGAGAGAGAGAGAAAGAGAGAGAGAGAATCAGGTGCCATGAAGGAGAGAACATCACCTTCCGACTATTCTGATAAGTTTTTCTTCTACATGTATTTGTATTTCGCCTTACGTCTTGCTTTATCATCGTCAAAATTTATAATAGTAAAGCTCTGTGGTCACCTAAAAGTTCAGATTTTGTTTTTATGACCCTGAAGAGTTTTTGCTATTAACGTTTCATTTTCGACTATATTATCGAAAACGAATTCAACGGGACGAGTGTAGTAAAAAAGAATAAAAACATCTTACGACGATTTCGTTTTCAATCTTCAGTATTTAAGTCCTGTAAAGTTTGTTTACAATTGAAATGTAAATAGCTGCTTTGGACTTTCTGTAGGTTATGCAGGTTTATACGTCAACTGAATTTTTCTAAAATTAGATAGATAACATTATAAGTACGTACTGATCCCTGTTGACAGAGCAGGTAACAACATTGTCTTTGTTTGTATGGCTCCTTATTTAAATTGTATTCTAGAAGAACTTTAATTCTAGAAGAACTTTTTAACTCTTCAAGTGGCAATCCTATACTCATAGTTCCCTTTCTAAGGATGAAATTCTGCAATATTTACATGTCAGTTTTGAATATATTTAATATCCCAAAGAACCAAAATGAATTTTGAACTACTATACATATATTGGATTTCGAAACTTCATAAGAATCCTTACAAAAAAAGATACATAGCGGGTTCCAGTGATGAAAGATATGGAGATGACGAACATTATATTCAATATCAAAGTCCGTAAAAGAATACAAAACAGGAGCAGAGCAATCACGGACCTCCGAAATATCAGAGGTGGGATCAGGTGCCATGGAGGAGTGAGTATCCCCTGCCGACTGGTCACACCTGTGCTCCTTGTCATGATCGGGAAATAACGCAAAAATCGGTCGTCAATTCAGTGTAATATATAATGGAATAACAATTAGTATGAAAAATGCCAGTCAGCAGTCAACTCAATGATCAACTGTATTTGTTGGTAAGGTCATTGTATCGACATAGAACTTACGAAATGATTACCATGTTCAATTGTTCAACCAAGCCTCTTTCTTTACTCCTCACTAAGATATTAACAATGGTAAATAAGGAGCTTAAAGAGTACTGTATAATAATGTTCAAGAAGTGGTGTAAATCAAATGTGGATAATTAAAAATTCCAATGAACGTTTGGTCAATTTGAAATCACAAGGTTTTACCAAAATCAACAGCGTAAAACATTACGACTTTTCAACTTTATACACAACCATTCCCGACGATAAATTAAAGTCCAGGCTTTTTGATATCATTGACAGAGAACTCTGCTTTTTAAATAAAAACGGAACTCAGAAATTTACTTACCTTGTCACTGGTCATTTGCAAAATTATTTTGTTCAAAAGCATTCTGATTGTACACACAAGTGCTCTGAAGTCGACACCAAAAAGATATTTCAGTTTCTGATTGACAATATCTATGTTTATTTTGGAGACCATATCTTCCAACAATCTATTGGAATTCCCATAGATACTAATTGCTCCCCGTTCGAGGGAGACCTATATTTGTATTCACTTGAAGAAGAATTTGTGCAGAATTGTATGCATGAAAAGAAGAAAACACTCGCTGTGGTCTTCAACTCGATATTTACATATATCGACGACGTACTGTCAATTAACACTGGTAATTTCCATTCTTATGTCGATACAGTATATCCTGGTTAGCTTGAGATAAAAGATACCACAGAGTCTGACACATCTGTTTCATAATTCGATATTTTACTTGAATCAGACGTTAATGGTAATCTAACAACCAAGCTCTATGATTAACATGTTGACTTAAACTTTTCTATCGTCAACTTCCCTTACTTAAGCAGCAATCTACCATCATCACCTGCATACGGACTTTACAAATCTCAGTTGATTAGATACTCAAAGCATGCTTTGTGCAATATCAAAATATTCACAGTGTATTTTAATAGTTATTCTCATGATTAAAACATGATTAACATTTCCCATCTTCTTTTCCACATAAACTTCTATTGAAATGTCCTGCCATTTAATTATTCCACCATCCATTATTGTTCCATCCGTTATTATTGTTCCACCAGTCATTATTGCCCCACCATCCGTTATTATTATTGCCCCACCATCCGTTATTATTGCCCCACGGTCCGTTGTCATTGTTCCACCAGTCATTATTTCCCAAGGGAGACCACCTTCTTCTCCCTTTAGATTTATAGAGAATGTGACATGAATTTGTTCAAATTACACTATTTTATACACTTGCCATTTTCTTGCATTTGAATAAAAATATAAAAAGAAAATTTAAAATCCTAGCAAGTAGAAATAGAGAATAAACAAAAACATTACTGGTTGTATTAATAGATGCTTTTTTAAAAAAAAAATTCACGGTTTTATAAACTTTTCACTTAATTTTAACTTAGTTCAAAGGTTGTTTATTGTCTAAATTGAGGTTTTTTTTTTCCATTGTATACCTTTGTTATGGAAAGTATTTATGGGTTTTTTAAATTGATTTACAAAATTAAATATTCTTAATGACTTAATCTTAATGACAACTTAAGGGCCTGGTATTTGCATGGACATAGAGGCATTCAAAAGATCAAATTGTTTATGTAATTAAAAAAAATTATATACGAAGTTTTAAATGAATGATACTTACATCCCTGAGACAACACAGCAGTGAAGCAGAAGGCTAGGATGAGAAACAATCGCAGCATTCTGAGAAGCTCTGCGTGAGTCTACTATAAAAGCGCCTTTCTAGACCAGAACATCTGTATTTATACGGATACTGCTTAATTATGCATATCAAATTTCTACTTTAGACAAACCTCTAATAATAATTAAGAATAAAATTAAAATACGTCATCATCAATCATTTTATAGAAAAAAAAAACAATTTTGAGATATCCTCCTTTCTTTTCTATCTATTAATTAATAGACTATGTGATACGCATATTTGATTTCTGTGTCTTTTTATATATTAAACAGTTTTGGGATAAAATTTTGCAAATGCATATTGTTAAGGATGCATGCAAAGTAAAAACTTGATGTATTTTCATCAGGTTTTAATGTGTTGGCATATATTTAAGACAAAACAGAATGTTTTGTATTTACCGGAAGCAAAGATAAGACACATGGTAGTTTGACAAAATATGATATACTATTTTGAAGTTTTGTTCCTTTATTTGAGAAAAATAAAATTTAATGGATATTAGAGAATAAAGAAATCATTGAGTCATCAATAGTAGTTTATAATCTGAAAATTCCAAAGACATGGTTTGCTACGGTTTTTTGTTCCTCATTTGGTATACAATCTGTTTTATCATAATACGAAATTTTATTTTTTTACAGATTCTTTTTCTTCAGAGAGAGAGAGAGAGAGAGAGAGAGAGAGAGAGAGAGAGAGAGAGAGAGAGAGAGAGAGAGAGAGAGAAGGAGAGAGAGGAGGGAGTTATTATTTCATTTTCATGAATAAGAGTTTTATTTTATAACATTTTATAAAAAAAAATAAACAATTGATTCCAACATTTCCAGTTGCTGTAAAAAACCTCTGAAAAGAGGTAAACTATTGACAGACAGGTTGATGGGGCAGGAGTGTCGACAGTCTCGTTTGGAGTCGTCATTTCGTAAGTTCTATGGTCGATGCAGTGGCCGTGTCGGCGAATGCGGTTTGTTGTTGGGTCAAATTCTGATATTTTCGTACTAATTGTTGGTCTATTATTATCTATACACTGAATTGACGATCCATTTTTTTGTTTTTTTTCCGATCATGACAAGGAGCATACGGCGGGTGTGACCGGTCGGTAGGGGATGTCTACTCCTCCATTGCAGGTGATCCAACCTCTGATGTTTTGGAGTTTCATGTTTGCTCTGCTCCTTTTTTGTATTGTTTTATGGACTTTTGATCTTGAATACAGTTCGTTATCTCCATATGTTTCATTGTCACCATATATATATTCTAAATATTTTTGAGTTTCATTAAATAGTTTAGGATGTGAAGTCGCAAGTCTGACATCTAATTTTGGTTGCTATTGAATACCAGGATCTGACATTTAGGTAATGTATACAGATAAATCATAATACTTTCGTTCAATTAAATATTTGTCAAACATATTGAACAGAACCATTTTTCGACATATTGGATCCGTGTCTTTTAATATGTCAGAAGAAAATGGTAATCTTGTTTAAATACGACCGTACAATGTATCAGGATGACCGTTTGATGGGTCTTCAAAAACATCATCCTACAGATTAATTAACAATATTTGATATACAGATCTCATAAAGGTCTGTAAGATACTTTTTCATTCTTGATTATTTAATTAATAAATCTATTTTAAATGTTGATAATAGAGCGTATAAGCTTCATTTAGGGTATGTCATTCGTGAAATGAGCTATAACGATGAATTTTTTTTAGAAGTTTATTTTAGATAGGTACTCATATAGCGTGACTCAAAATCGCAAATAAAATGGGGCGAAGGGGGGAGGGGGTCAGTGTACATCTTTACTGAGCTACGGTACAATTAAATTGACATTTTGCACTTAAATTGTCACTCTTGTTACTCACTTTAATTTCTATTACATATATTTTATCAGATGTAATTATGGCAATAATATAATCTTATATTTACGTAAAAAACATTGAATAATATTTGTCATTGAACAAAGTGTGCAAATTAATGCGAGTAAAGTATGCAACCCTTTTGCACTAAAAAGTACCAGATTTTGGGCATAAAAATCTAAATAGGGAATAAAATATTTTCTTATATCAAACTTTTTATGACTTAAGCGTTGATCGCTTGGAAGTATAAAGTTGTTCAAAATAATTGAAGAAAAATTTAGTTTCAGTCATGTCAATTTTTAGATATTTGTCAAAATGTGCGATTTTCAGGCCAAAAAAAAAAAAAGATATAATTTTTTTTGTCTCGACTTCTAAAACAGATCTTCATTTCTTGGCAAAATTTCTTAAGTTAAAGTATGAATTTCTTCTTAAAATGTAAATTGAGACCTATATTCAATATGCCTATCAAATCATTACGCAAAATATTCTCTGGGTTAAAAATATGTAGGACTAAAGTTCCTTAATGTTAAATTTTAAAAATATGCAGATTTGAAGAATTTTCTTCTAAATATCTTTCAACCACAAGAAAAAATCCCTAATTTAATTTGCTTCTTTATGATTTTGTGAGCAGTATTTTTATAGAATGTTAAAAAAATTCGCATTACTTAATTTTAATATGTCACAAAAAATTGAATTGTAATAAATAGTTTTGAAGTTAAGAACTATTCTAAAAGGTTGTTGAGTGACATACCTTAATTTGTCTTGGTCAGGATATTCATAATTCGGACAGATCTTTCATAAACGATGCAATTAACATTTCCTGATCAAAAAACCACATTTAGATGTCTTCAAAACAGTGCTTTTATTTCTATTTATATAAAGTTATCATTACCAAAAGTTTGTAATTAAGTGTTGGTTACTATTTTAAACAAGAATGATGTTTGACATTTATCCCAGAAATATTTAAAACAACGAAGTTGAAGGAAATTTTTCTAGATAAGATAAAAAAGAACAAAGAACGTATTCTCGACCATATACTTATTTCTAAGTGCAATCCCTTCATTTTAAGTTAATACTTTCAGGATATTTCACACTATTCCGTTCACTTTTGTGCATTTCATATTCTTTCGTTCATTTCTTCTGATGTTCCTGTTTAGACTGCTATTCAAACTCTTCATCGTTAAGCTAAAATAGGAAAAATAGAAATGATTGATTGATTGTATGTTGTTTACGTCTCTCTCGAAAATTTTTCACTCATATGGAGTCGCAACTACTTGCCGGTAGAGAGCTGTAAATTTTGTCCTATACTCGGCACTCAAGGCCATTGAGCAGGAAAGGATCTTTTTTCATGCCGGCACCTACTGCGACACGGGACCTCGGTTTATACGGTCTCATCCGAAAGACCGGTCTCTATGTCCCACGGTGGGATTCGAACCTGCAACGTTAGGATCACCTCCTTACTTTGCCACTCTAGAGCCGACGCTCTATCCACTGCGCCAAGCGGGCGACTGATAGAAATGAAATTAAGGTAATTAAGATTAGTTTCTGTCTCTTTTAGTTAAAGATTAAAGTCCATACACAGATCTAATTAAAAATTAAACTGGTATCATTTAATTAAAATAGACCAGCCAATTTATTAAGTTTCAGTCTTTTAATTTGGTCAAATTAGAGTTTTTAAAAAATGAAAAATGGTCGGTAGGAGAAAATATAATAGAAGGAATGTAAACAAAAAAAGACTTTTATTTAAAATACATACATCTTTTTCAATCGTATATCATAAATTTGTCTATTCTGATAAATAAGAACGATTATGGCTTAAATCAATGGGAGAATTATAACTCTCAGTTTATTCGATATGCAAAGTTCTGCTCTACAAGTGAGGTAAATTATTGACAACCAAGAAAAAACTAGAATATCAACAATCTCGTTTAAAGTCATCATTTCTTACGTTCTTTAATCGATACAATGACCTTGACAGAAAAAACAATTTATCATCAAATCAAATGCTGACTGACAATTTTCATACTTATTGATAAACCATTATATACACACTGAATTGACGACGAATTTTTCCGTTATTTCCTGGTCATGACAAGGAGAACACGGCGGGTGTGACCGATCGGCAGAGTATGGTCACTTTTCCATGGAACGTAATTCCACCTCTGTTGTTTTGAAGATCCGTTGCTCTGCTCCTGTTTTGTATTGTTTAATGGAATTTTGAGCTTAAATCACGTTTTGTCCTCTCCATCGGCTGCATGGGGGAATGGTTAGAGCGTCTGCTCTAGAGTCGCGAAGTAAGGAGTAAATCCTTACGTCACAGGTTCGAATCCCACTGTCGGACGTGGTCCTTCAGATGAGACCGTATAAATCGAGGTCCCGTGTCGCAGTAAGTGTTGGCACGAAAAAGATCCCTCCCTGCTCAAATGCCCTGAGTGCCGAGTATAGGACAAAATTTGCAGCTCTCGGTGGCGTCTCCATATGAGTGAAAAATTCGTTTAACAATATACAATCAATCAATCAATCGCCCTTTCCATATATTTCATTTGAAAGGTCCTATATCAAAAATATTTTGAAAATCAATACAATGAATTGTCGAATGTGCAATAAAGATTTTTTTTTTCATTCGTAACTAATAAACTAACATGAAAACATTGATGTAACCATGGAAAGAAATGAAGTAAACAATGGAAATGACTCTTGATCATCAAACCGCTTTGATATTTGAGAAAAAGACATGCATCTAAATGATGGAGACGATGGTCGAGAAGATTTTGAAAACTTGTAGTCGGATGAAAATCTAACAGAAACGATATCCTTTTAAACTTTATCAATTCCTCCAGCAAATGTTGGCTGCATAAAAAATAAAAAAAAAAATCAGACACATGCATCACCTACATGTATTTTCAAAAATGCATTCCACTTTAAGAATATAAAACAAGAAACCGTGTAACGTACATTTTTATGCGATAAGTAAAATTCTATGTTCTAAAAAAGGGACCTGTCGTTTTTTCCCACCAAAATCCGATACACCAACACTTAAACTTTTATGTACAGAGCAGCCCGGTCCTCCGGGCTGCAATAAATAACTAATTTTATCTGTTACATGTATTACAAATTTGTTACGTTTGGTATAATGAATTCCAAACAATGTTGTAACGAATTATACGATGCGTCGAATTAGACACATCTGTTTCATATTTGGATTTTTTACATGAAACAGACTTAATTGGTAATCTATCAACCAAGCCCTATGATAAACGTAATGACTTTATCTTTTCTATCTTCAACTTCCCTTACTTATGCAGCAATATACATTCATCACCTGCATACGGAGTTTATGTATCTCAGTTGATACATATGAATATCAGCATTCTCGTTTAAAATCATCATTCCGTAAGTTCTATGGTCTATACAATGACCTTGTCAGCAAATACAATTTATCATTGAGTCAAATGCTGACTAACGTTTTTCATACTAATTGTTAGTCCATTATTTAATAACCTAATCATTGTTATTTCCCAATCATGACAAAGAGCACGTGGCGGGTGTGACCGGACGGCAGGGAATGCTCAATCCTCCGTGGCACCTGATCATCTGATGTTTTGGAGGTCCGTGTTTTCTCTGCTCCAATTTTTTTTTATGTAGTTTTATGGACTTTTGATCTCGAAGAATGTTTGTTATGTCCATATGTTTCATTTTAGCGAATGTTTTAACCTCAATGTTTTATCTAGAAATGTGCGAAAAGACTTTGATGGGATTATATATGTACAATACGTAGGCCCATGGTCATTCCGTAATTACGAGTAGAACTTGTCGTTCAATTATTTCAATTATTACTCTTTGCTTTAACTCAAATAAGCAGCTAATAATATGTGTTAATTGTTTAAAAGGCTGTTTTAGTATGCAACGCTACATATTTCATCAGTCAAATCACGTGTCATGGATTTGATTACCAGTACCATATGTATATATTTCTAACCTGCAAGACAAGTAAGGTAACTTTAAATATATACTGATTTCTAACCTGCAAGACAAGTGAAGTAACTTTGAATATATACTGATTCCGCGAATTCAACAAAACGCGATCATGTGGGAGGAAAGAAAAACATGAAAATTACAACCCGTGAAATACAGATCCCCTATACCGTCATAACAAATTCAAAAAACTAATATAACGAGAAAATACTTTTTTTTTTAAAAATTGACAATTCGTTATATTGAATTCAAAAATATTTTGAGAGGTCCTAAATGGTCTTCCATAAAATTTCTACAAGGCCTGATTGTTGAATTTGTGGTTCATTATTTAAATTCATAAATTGTTATTTAGACGAATTGGATTTAATTCTACTAGTGAATATTCAGTTTAAAGCCATAACATCATTTCTAAGGAAAGAATTTTTAAAAATCTTATGCTGGTTATGAAAATTTTTAATATTCCTAACAACCAGAATAACTATGAATTACCACATTTATATTGTATTCCAAAACTTCACAAAAATCCTTAAAACAAAGATACATGTAAAGCAGATCCCAGTTAATGTTCAACCAAGCCTCTTTCTTTACTCTTTAACTACGATTGTGAAGAAAAACTTCAAGAGTACTGTGCAACAATATATTCGAGAAGTGTTGTAAATCAGATGTGAATACTAATAAAAATTCCATTTGAAAAATTTAAAATTAAATGATTTTACAAAACCCAACAGCTAAAAACCTTTCGACTTTTTCAACCTTATCCTCAACCATTCCGCACGATAAATTAAAGTCCAAGCCACAGCTACCTTTGCAATAAAAATAGATTCGTTAAGAGCTATTGTAAAGAGCTAAGTTCACTTTACGCATAAAATGGCCCTGTCCTTATAACAATTAATAAAGTGTCATTCTCCTTCCCATTTCATATATCAAAACAAGGTAGAAGACTTAGTTCTTTCATTTCCTTTTATAAATTTTCTTTTTGAGAATCAAAGTATTGGAAATCAGGCTTTGAGAAAATGCAATGTTCTTGAACTTTGCAAAAAACAGGCGTATTTGACTATCATCAGTAAAAAATGAAAATATGAGCACAGCAAAAAATTTAAAATCTTAAAATTACTTAGTAAAACATTTTTTTCATCTTCAGAAACAAATCTTTCATTTTGTAATTGCATGTTTTGATCAGATGTTGTGCTCTTTATGAAATAGTGGGGAAAAAACTTCATATTTAGGCCATTTTCAAAGGAATTTAAATGATATGGGAAAGATGGCGCATTTTATGATGTCATAATGCATTGACTACAGGGAAAATTACGTCATGTTCAATGGAAATATGGTCACCAACACTCCAAGTGATAAACAAAGCATTTTTGACCTAAACTGAGCAGTTTTGATTTTACAGAAATTCTTAGGGCCAAAAAGGGCTGTAAGTGGCTCTTGCTCTTTAATTAGCTTGTCATTGGTCATTTGTAAAAGTTTTTTGTTAAAAAAACAGTCTGTCACACAAATACTTTGAAACTGACATAAAAAAGATGCTTGATTTTCTGATTGACAACATCTATGTGGCTTTGGAGACTAGGCTTTTCATGCATATAAATTCTAAAAATTCCTTAAGTATATAAAATTACATATACTTAAATTTCTAAAGCATATTCTTAGCAACATGCTTACTGGTTATTAGCTAAGCATATCGTAAACTGCTTAAGTACACTGTTACCATGTCTGTAAAGTCACTTCCTCATTCACATTCATGAAAACAATTACAAGTCACGAAGACTTGTGGAAGTGAAAGTGCAAGTGGAAGACATTCAGAGATCTTGTGTGCTAAGTTTTGCATGGGGGATATTTCTATGATTTTTATGCAAATTGTTAGGCCATTATTTACACACTGAATTGTCGACAATTTTTTATTATTTCCCAGTCGCGACAAGGAGCACGGTTAGTGTGACCGGTCGGCAAGGGATACCCATTCCTCCATGGAATTTAGCCCATCTCTGATGTTTGGAGGTTCGTGCTTGCTCTGTTAATGGATGTTGAGCTTTAATACTTTCCATTTTTTACGTATGTATGCCTCTTGAAAAGACTTCAATTTTGTATTGTTTAAAAATGGATGTACCAAATAACCGGTAATATCCGCTTTAATTTTAACCATTTTCTAAAAAAGTCGAATATTATCTCAACAATTTTTTAAGTTTTGGCATGTTTGTGTCATATTTTGTGAAAATATCAGAGAATCCTATGTATTGGTCACTTTGGGGCTTACATTTTGTAATGTGTTTACCCTATCTAAGAGCAGTAAACAAAAGACTATAAAAATTAAATGCCAAAACTGATATTTAAGCATATGTATCCATTCTGTATGTACTATAAAGGTCAAGGTCATATCGAGAGGTCAAAGGCAGAATACTGATCCCTTTCAAAATATGCTTTATTTTTACACATTTTAAAATTGCACTGTTGATTTTTTGTAAAAATTGCACTAACATGTTTTCATGACGGATTTTTAGGATATTTTACCAAATAACCGGTAATATCCTTTGATTTAGATTTGAAAGAAAAATGAAAGTAATCCAGTTAAATTTGATTTATTGTTCGCCATACAAGTGTCCCGTCTCGTATTCCACTTTCAAGCTCACATCATATATATTTCAGAGTTCATCATTTTTGCTCCTTAACCTTTTAATGAAAAATCTTCAAACTAGACTGTTGACTTTTTAAAATAAACCATTTACAATTTTTTTTAAATTTTTCAATATTTAAAAGAAATATTTGTGCATTGCTTGCATGGCGTAATATTTATGTACAATAGATTCGATCGTTGTGGTACATGTTTCCTGTATTTCTCTTTCAGAAGTCTTGCTTAGAATTGTAACTTCATTTCTTTAACATGAAAGCTTAGCTGATTTTTTTAAAATTAAGAATGAAAATTAAAGTAATTGCTTAATGAAAAAATAGTAGGGGGAGTATTAAAGCAATTACTTATACGTCGTTTTCCTTTATTCTTAAATTTAGGATAATATTGTCACAAATTTAAAGACAGAAAAATAATAATCCATATATCATAGATTGTCGAAGCTTATAAAAATTTGATTGCTATTCCATGGTAAGTCAAATATTATAATTAAAAATTAAGTTAGATTGACTGATTAATTGTTTGTTTGTTGTTTCACCTACTATTCGAGATTTTTTTTTCACTTATAGGGCCTATAGAGATGTCACCATGGACCAAGAAAGGCTTAAAATTTAGACCTTTACTTGTCACTAAGGGCTTTTGAGCAATAAAGTATCTTGCAAGGTGTCGAGCACTGAGGATTGACGTAGCAACATTTTTTACATATTTTTTACCTATTTTACCGACTTATGTCAGTCGCGGCGGAGATTCGAACTAACGACCTTCTGATCAGGGAGCAAGGGCAATCAAAAAACATTAATTTTATAGTATTTGAAGAATTTGTGCAAAATCAAAACCTTCACAGTATATTTTTGATATTTATTCATTAAAAATACATATTGAACATTTTCCATCTTTTGTTACACCACTGTCCACATTTATATTAAAAAAACACAATAAATAGTTCCATTCATTAGCCTCTTCCTCAATGCATCTTTTTCACTTAAGCTTCTGTTGTATTGTCCTGTCAGTTAATCCCACCATCCGTTATTGTTCCATCCGTTATTATTGCCCCACCATCCGTTATTATTATTCCACCAGTCATTATTGCCCCACAGTCCGTTATTATTGCCCCACCATCCGTTATTATTGTTCCACCAGTCATTATTGCCCCACGGTCCGTTATTATTATTCCACCAGTCATTATTGCCCCTGGGAAACAACACTCTCCCTCCGACTGTAGATTTATAGAGAATGCAATATGAATTTCTTCAATTCACACTATTAAACACACTTGCCATTTTCTTGCATTTGAATAAAAATATTTGAAGACAATTTAAAATCCTAGCAAGAGAAAATGGTGAATAAATAAAAAAGTTCCTGATTGTTTTGTTGTTTTTTTTAATAAAATATGCGGTTTTATAAACTTATCACTAAATCGTAACTTAGTTCAAATATTATTTCTTTTCTTAATTGAATTTTTTATACATTAAATACATGTACCTTTGTTATAAAAAGTATTTATGTTTCAATACTTTTAAATTAATTTATGAATATAAAATATTATTAATAACTTGATCTGAATGATAACTCAAGGAACTGGTATTTGAGTAGGCATATAGACATTGAAAAGATCAATTTGTTTTTAACTAAAAAATTCGATTAATAATTTTTAAATAAATGATACTTACATTGGGACAACACAGCAGTGAAGCACAAGGCTAGAATGAGAAACAATCGCAGCATTCTGAGAATCTCTGCGTGAGTCCACTTACAGTGCCTTTCTAGATCAGAACATCTGTATTTATACGGATACTGCTTAATTATGCATATCAGATTTCCACTTAAGACAAACATATAATAATAATTTAGAATAAATTAAAATACGTCATCATTAATCATTTTATAGATGATAACAATTTTGAGATATCTTTTTTGTTTTCTTTTCTCTATGTAGACTACGTGACACGCATATTTGATTTCTGCATATCTCTTTACATATTGAAGAGTTTTTGTAATAATAATTTTACATACATATTTCTTAGGATGCAATGAAATTAAATGGTGTATTTATTATGCAATACTATCTTTGGATATATTTAGAACAAATACTGAATTGAATGTATTTACCGTAAGTAAAAATGAAATTTACCGTAGTTCATAATTAATATTGAAGGTCTGCTCCATTATTTGAGAAAAAAAAGTTAATGGATATTCTTTATTTATGGATAAAGAAATCATTGCGTCATCAATACTGTATGCAGGGAAATTTTCGCCCCGGTTTTATTTTCGCACAATTCGCCCTACTCACAGGAGGGCGAATTTAAAACGGGGTGAATTTATAAAATATATTACTAGGCGAATTAAAAACGGGGCAAAATATTTTGTAAGTGTGAAAGGGCGAAAATAACCCTGTATACGGTAGAAGTTTAAAATCTGAAAAATAAAGAATTAAGATTTGCTATAATTTACCACGACCTGGCATGTACGTAAAGTTAAATCTTTATACTTTCTTAAAACTTTATATTCGTTAATACCGAACTATTTTTTTCTAAATATTTGATCTTTTAATATGAGAAGAAATTGTAATCTTGTTTAGATATGACCTGATCAGGAAATCAGTTTGATGGGTCTTCATAAACATCATCGTATGGCTTAATTAACAATTTTTGATTGATAGAACTCACAAAGGTCTGCAAAATTCCCCTTTCATTCTTGATGATTTAATTAATACATCTATTTCATGAGTTGATAATAGAGCGTATAACCTTCATTTAATTTGCCGTGGTCAGGATATTTATAATTCCGCTAGATCTTTCATTAACGATGCAATTAACATTTCTTTATCAAAACATTGGTTTTATTTCTATTTATATGAAAAAAGTAATTTCAAAAACTTTGCAAATAAGTGTTGGTTGTACAAACCACATTCAGATGTCTTCAAAACATTGGGGGGGGGGGGTTATTTCTATTTGTATAAAATTATTTATTTTAGAAAGTTTGTAACTAAGTGTTGGTTACCATTTCAAAAAAAAAAAAAAAGTCTTTACTTGAAAAAAACTTTTGACATTCATTTCTGAAATATTTGAAAGAATGAGGTTGAAGAAAAATTTTCTAAATAATTAAGAAGAACAAGAAACATATTTTCGACCATATACTTATTTCTTAAATGCAACACCTTCATTTTAACGTTAATGATTGCAGGAAAATTTACACGAAAGACTCGTTCACTTTTGTGCGTTCCATATTCTTTCGTTCATTTCTACTGATTTTCCTGTTTTGATTGCCATTCAAACACTTCGACGTTAAACCTTAAATGATAGAAATGAAATCAAGGAAATTTGTAGGTGTTTCAGGGTTTTTAAGATAAAAATAGATACATAGTGTTATGTAATATCAATTCTATAGACAATGTTTTAGTCAAACATACCTTTTTTTACCACAACAATGAATGAATCTTTGAATTTAATGTATCATTTCGTTTCTTTAACTTCCAAATCAAGAACAATCATTACAGAACATGTGATACATAGCGGGTTGCAATAAATGTTCTACCAAGCTTCCTTCTTTCCTCCTCAATAAAATATTAACGCATGAGAAGGAGGAACTTCAGGGGCACGGTGCAACAATATTTTTGAGTAGTTATAGTGTAAATCAGATGTGAACACTTAAAAATTCCATGGGACTTTTGGAAAATTTGAAATTACAAATTCTTACCAAAATCAAAAACACAAAACTGTTTTAAACTTTCTATAGCACCATCCACCTCGATAAATTAAAGACCGGGCTTTTCGATATCATTGACAACTTCTTTTTTCAATATAAAATGGAACTCGTAAATTTGCTTACCTTGTCATTGGTCATTTGCAAAGTTATTTTAGATAAAAACATTCAGATTATACACACAAGTACTCTGGAGATGATATTGAAAATATTCTTGAGTTTATGATATACAATATCTGTTTGATTTTTTAAGACCAGGTCTGCAAACAATCTATTGGAATTCCTATGGGTATCAATTGCGACCCATTATTTGCAGACCTATCTTTGTATCCATATGGCGCAGAATTTGTCCAAAATATCATACGTGAAAAGAAGAAACACTTGTTGTGGCCTTCAACTTGACATGTCCATACCATATATATCCCACTGAGCTCGAAACATAAGATATCACAGAGTCTGACACACCTGTTTCAAATAAAGATATTTTGATTTTACAACCAAACTTCATGATAAACCTGATGAATTAAACTTTGCAATCGTCAACTTTCCTTACTTAAACAGTCATATACCTTTATCAACCTTCATACCGAGTTTATATCCCTCAGTTGATTTGAAACGCACAAGATCATCTCTAAGTATGAACGATTTCTAAAACGAGGTAAATTATTGAAAAACAATTTGTTGAAATATGCATATCAGAATTCTCGTTTAAAGTCATCATTTCGTTAGTTCTATGGTCGATACAATGATCTTGTAAGCAAAAACAATTTATTATCATGTCATCGACGGAAGATAACGTTATTTCCCAATAAGGACAATTAGGAGCATACAGCGGGAGTGACTGGTCGAGACGGGATGGACACTTCTCTATGGAGCCTATTCCCGCCTCTGATGTTTTGGAGGTCCGTGTTTGCACTGCTCCAATTTGTGTTGTTTAGTGGACTTTTGAGATTAAATTCTGTTCGTTATGCCTATAAAGTCCATGATTAAGTCATCCGTTTCACTTCAAAATAATCTCTTTTGATCTTCAGTTTTTTTTTTAAACCTTTGTCATTTGGTTATATATTAAACCAGGATCAAAGTAAAATAGTTGATAGTTTTTTACAAAAATAATTATCTGTAGTTCTAATGGTATTGCCTTTTGAATTGATATATACCGACCTTTTTGATGCCTATTATAAACAATCATTGCAAAATATTATCAATTGGTGCACAAAAAGTGTGAATCATCTACCTTTAATAAAAAAGGAACAAAATAATTTTAGCTTTACACAAAAAAAAAGAAGAATTAACTAAGTCATTTTTTTAATTCAGATTCAATTTATTTTGACAAAAGCTTTCTTCCGGGCATCCTCTGCAAAAAAAATTGCTTTTGTTTTAAAATGTTTTAACAGACATTGCTTTTTGATAAAAATAAATATTCGAACTTGTTAACTTCATCTTTTCATCATATAAGTCACCTTTCTTTTCTATCAAAGTTCTAATAGTAGCTCTTGCCACCACTTCCTCCGCCAAATTTTCCTCCTCCAAGGCCACCTCCTCCTAAACCACCGAGTCCTCCAAGGCCACCTCCTCCTAAACCACCGAGTCCTCCAAGGCCACCTCCTCCTATTCCACCGAGTCCTCCAAAGCCACCTCCTCCTATTCCACCGAGTCCTCCTAGTCCTCCCAGGCCACCAAGTCCTCCTAGACCACCTCCACCAAAACCACCAAGTCCTTTAAGACCACCACCTCCCAATCCTCCAAGTCCTCCTAGACCTCCTCCTCCCAGACCACCAAGTCCGCCAAGGCCACCACCTCCCAATCCCCCAAGTCCTCCTAGACCTCCGCCTCCGATGAGACCGCCTCCTCCTAGGCCTCCAAGTCCTCCCAGTCCTCCCCCTATTCCTTTACCGCCTCCGATACCACCACCTCCACCAATGAGTCCTCCTCCCAAACCACCAATCAGTCCTCCTCCTAATCCTCCGAGTCCTCCGAGACCGCCTCCTCCAATAAGTCCTCCTCCCAAACCACCAAGTCCTCCGAGACTGCCTCCTCCTAGACCTCCTCCACCCAAACCACCGAGCCCTCCTATCCCTCCTCCGAGTCCTTTACCAAATCCACCTCCATATCCTTCAGATAAAAGTGGCAAAAATTTATTCAATTATTCAACCTGTGTAAGATGTAAAATGTAAAACTGTTTCACTTTGGACTTTCTGACTAAAACTAAAACATGCTTAGTTAACAGGTGTAAATATCGAAACCACTCCTTCTACGCGAAAATTCAAGCGACTGAATCAAATGCCAAGGGAAAAAAGGTATCTTTTTATCGACATGAATGAAAATTCGCATTCTTTTTGCCTTCATATAAACCGCTCTCTAAGCAAATATCGTGTGTTTAATGTATTAAAACCATTCTTACCTCCTCCACCGCCGTAGGAAGTAGCAAGCATGGCTGGGGAAAAAAAGAAAGTTGATTTCAGAACATATTGATGTATCAAAGAAGTGTTACTATGCAGTGTAATTATAAACAAAATTCATTTACACAAAGTATACACTAGATTTAAACATTCAAAGTAGTAAAACTTACCAATATACAGTTTTTTAACCAATTAAAAGACAAAGAAAGAGGTTAACATTTCATTATTAATATTGTCAATTACAGTGTATATAGAACGTATCTTACCGCAGATGACCAGAGCGAAGGCAGAGATGTTTCGGAACATGGTGTCTAGCTCGGATGCCTGTTCGTGGGGGAATTGGCCCTTTTATATAGCATGTCCACTTAAAATATTTGGAATTTATTGCTTGTGTACAAACAATTAGCAAAAGGGTTTTTACATGTTTGTGAATGTCAACGTTCTGTTATAAATATGCAATATTAGAGAATTTTGAACTCGTCATTTTGGTCATTATTTGCACCTCTTAAAAATGTTATTCCGCATGTGATAACATATTTAACGCAATAAATAGAGGTAAAACAATTGAAAAGAACATTTTCCGATTTTCCCCATTTAGTAAATTGAGATGTTTTTTTTCATCTTTTACAATGCTTAAAATGTAAACATAAAAATTTTTCTATCCTGAAAAGTTCAAAAGGGCA